TCCCACTCAGCCGCTCTCCTGCCCCCTGTCCTGCAGCCCAGCCCCCCTAGCCAGCCCCCCTCCTGCCCCCTGACCCTCCCTTTACCCCCTCCTGCTCAGCCCCCCTCCCGCCCCCTGTCCTGCAGGCAGTCCCCCAGCCAGCCCCCTGCCCCCCCACTCTGCTCCCTCCCGCTCAGCCCCCCTTCCTGCACCTGACCACTGGCCAGCCCCCCACCGCCACCCATAGCTTCCCCTGTTGCAGCCTTTGTGCCCCCCACCTCCTGTCCCCACCCCCCCCAGCCCAGCACCCCCCGGACTCACCTTGCTGGTACTGCAGCAGGTACTCGGTCAGCGCCCCATTGGGGAACTGGGGGGGTGTCCACTCCAGAGCCAGCACCGTGTCCGACACCCGCTCCAGGAGCAGCGAGCTGGGGGGGCTGGGCACTGGGGGGGCAGAGAGAGGGTGAGAGCTGGGGGGACTCGGTGGGGGTCTTCCCCTCTGTGACGGAGCAGGGAGGGGGAGTGTTACGGGCACTCTCTGCATCAGTGCTGGCTGGGGGGGATCTCGGGATGACTTCACTTGAGGGGCGACACCTGAGTGTAACCTGAGCGGGGAGGGGGCTGGGGCCAGGTCACCCCTTCTGCCCGGGTGTGATGTTATGAGTGTGATATAATCTCTCATTGAAAGGTGACAGGGCCAGGAAGAGTTAATTACCGCCCAGACTGACCGGACCCAGGGCCGAACTGTAGCGACTGGCTAGGAAGATCTGTGACCGAACAGAGCTCTGAAATGCAGCCGCATTGTTAGAGAGAGAAGGGGAGCGGTTTGCTCGGGGCTTGTGATGGGAGCAAACAAGTCTTGTCTATTGCTAGAGCTTTGATTCAAAGATCAAAAAAGGAATATTAACGTGCAGGAAGACACTTGAGGGAAATAGTGTTATTGTCTCTATGTCTCTTTGAAGGTTGGGGTAACCTGGATCTGAACTGTGTAATGGATAAATGACCCTGGGCTAATTGCCAGGATGTTTGGGAGAAGGAGAGTTAGGCCGATTGTTTTCTCAGGCCGAAAGGCTGCAGGAAATGTATAAAAACCCTGGGACACGATCCTGCATCATCTCAGATCTGCTTTGGGTTCCAAGAGGGGGAACTTGGAGCCACAAGGATTGAGATCCCCAGTCACTGATTGGCGTCACCCTGAATATGGACATTGGCCTGTAACCGATGGACTGTTTCTAAAAGGACTTTTGGCAACTACAAACTCATCTCTGCTGTGTCTGAACCTCAAGAATTGAACTCAGGTCTGTCTGTATATTGATCTTCGAACCAACTCTCTCCTTTTTGAATACATTTTAGATTAGTTACTAAGGATTGGCTCTACGCGTGTATTGTGGATAAGATCTAAGTTATCCTTGGTCCTCGGTGTGCGGCTGATCCTTTGGGATTGGAAAAACCTTTTCTTTGATATGATGAGATCAGATGTTCAGGAATCATCATCCTATCTGACGTGTGTCTGGCCGGAGGCCGGAGGCTGGGCACGTTAAGGGAACTGCGTTGGTTGGACGTCTGAGGAACCAGGGAGGTCCTACAGGAGCTGTTTGGGGCTGGTTGGTAAATCTAAGTACTGGAAGATCCACCAGCGTTTGGGGTTTGTCTGCCCCGGTCTGTTTGCAGTTCACCCTGAGTCAGTGACCTCACCCGGCTCCCACGGGCAGCACCGTCAGGCCAGGACACTGGACAAAGGCCGGAGGAGGGGCTGGGGGGGCCGGAGGAGGGGCTGGGGGGTGGTGGGGGTCAGATTGGAGCTGGCTGGGGAGACGGGGGGTGGGGGGGAGGCCCAGAACCAGGGTCTGGCTCCCCACCCCCAGGATGGACCCAGCTGAGGGGTCCTGGTCTCTGTCCCTACAAGCTCTGGCTCCCCCGTGTCCCTGGCGGCGAATAACCCTTTGCAGGGACTCGCAGGAAGTGGGGTGCAGGCCCCGACTCCCCCCCCAACAGGGGCCGGCCCCCCCCCACATCCCGTGACACCGTCCTTGGGGGCTGGGAGCTGTTGAGGGGTGTGTGGGGCTCTGGAGGGTCAGGGGAGCTGGGGGTTCAGTGGGGAATGGGGGCTGGGGGTCACAGTGGGTTTTGGGGGTTCAGGGGGTCTCACCTCCCTCGGGGGTGCTGAAGTCGATGTCCTCGCTGTGGGGCCCGTCGCTGCGCCCATTAAACACAACCACGTAGAGGCGGTACCAGCTCCAGGGGCGTAGCCCCCCCAGCCTGGCCCGCGACGCCTCCCCCACCACCGTCAGCACCAGCGGGGGTGGCTGGGCCCAGGCCTGGCGCCGGCTCCGCTCCCCCACACTGCCCAACCGCCAGTAAAACACCTGGGGGGACAGGGTCAGACAGCAGGGCCCCCCGAGTGCCCCTTGCCCCCCCGAGTG